TGTATGTGTATGTGTATGTGTATGCGTATGCGTATGCGTATGCGTGTGCGTATGTGTATGTGTGTATGTATGTCTATATGTAAATGTAATATGTATATGTATATACTTACGACTGCATTTGTGCAGGTTTGCGCGTGACATTACACACTCGGTATTTCCGTCTCATTGTTCCACAGTGTGTAATTTCAATTTTAAGTCCTTTAATTTCTTTCGTGAATTTAACTCGTTGGGAATCCGTAAGAGGCTTTTTTTGTTCGTTTATGTCTCGAATATCTAATACTTCACACATAAATTCTATGACTGGTTGTGCTTTGTAAAATGCAGTTGCAGATACTAGAATATAAATGATGCGTAAGAAAAGCATTTAACATAGTAGTATAATATCGAGTAGTAGACATACAAATAAAATATTTCACGTAAAATAATACATATATACCATCAATATTCAGCATCATTTTCCATTGTGATGGTCTAACAGACTGATGGAAACCAAACCAGACTTCTCTACCACCTCCTAGTGGATGATAATAACCATCTGGTGTACTGAAAAATGATCTACCTACTGGAGTATACGTCATAGATGGTAAATGCCTCATTACAACATCTAAAGCAAGGATAGCATCGTATGGAATTTGTCTTGTACGCCCTTCTAGAGCTTCTTCCAAAGCAAATAATGAAACTTGAGCCAGCCATTTTATAAATACTTTAAAAACTCTGTCTTTACCCTCGCCAGGTAGTGTAACCTGTAAAAATAATATTTATTAGGAAATGAATATCGATAAATCATTAAATAGAGAAATTTCTTCAAATGTTATAAATACCTCTAATTCTACTTTGTCATTACCAATAAGTATGGGATCTCTTGTATATAAATTATTTCTCCCATCAAACACAGGCTTAAGAGTTCCAAATAGTTTACTATTTGCATGAACCATTGTTTCTATAATTTCTCTATTAACTTTACGAGGACATTTATCAGGTTGAATATTAATATCGTAATGATGTACGTAACCACGTGGCATAGTAATTTGGAAGTGATTGGCCCTTAAATTGATTGGTCTGCCTTCACGTCCTATATCTGGTCTCCGAGGACATGAAAACACTGTAAAAAAATATTTGTTAAATTAATCTCCGATTTTTAAAAATTTTCATAATCTTGTGCCGCATAAAAAGTTAAGAATTTCTCTAATACATTTTAAACCTGTCGCAAACAGAAAGAATTAGAGATTTTTGAAGTACCCGAAAGTTTCGAGGTCTCTTTTCGTAACCTGCTTCTGTAAGATTATGATCTATACGCTGTAGAGATTTGTAAGCTATAATCGTGGCATCGAATGCTTGATTCTTTAAATGTTTTCCAAAACTACATTCTAAGACTCAGGTGCAGTTCCGAATTTTCGGTAACCCCAAATATTTCCGAGAACACACATCTAAAACTAATAAGAATACATCAGCAGGTTGTCGCTTTACTTTCGACAGACACAACCACGTTTGAAAAGACAACACTGTGGAACAAATTTTGACCTATGTTAGTTTTCGCAATATCCACTATGTGATTCTTATAGTGTTCCTTACCCTAAATACGAATTCGAAAATCAAATTGCTGGGTCAGGTCCAGTTTTCGAAAAAACTGGGGTTTTGTAAAAACGGTCGAATTTTCAGAGAATCAAGTGTTACTCGAAAACTAAAAACGATAAGCAGTTAAAATTTGTCGCAAAAAATAAAGGAGACTTGCCCGATTACATAGCTATAAAAATTTTGAATTTTGCGTATCATTAAATGTTTGTAAACGATGATCAAAGTTTAAAAAAGGGTAGATGC